ATAGTAGCTGCAATATTCAGTAATTAGTGTAGAAATTGCAACCTGTGCAAAAATAAATTCTATATTTAAAATAAATTGTGTTGATGGAGTCATGAGGAACTTACTTTTGCAGTAAGACAGTAATGTATAGGTGCTAAACATAGGAAAATATAGGTTTGTCTGTAGTCTAGTATGCCGTTGTTGGATTTCTAGAGGGCATTTAATATACTATTACAGAGATGCCAGGCAATAATGGTGGGCAGGACTGAGGCTCACATGTGGATAGGAAAGATATATTTTCTTACTTAGTTTGTGGGGCTTTAATTGAAGACGGGGGTTGTAATTAAGAGGTTCAAAAGCTTTTTCTGGATCTGTACCTTCATTCAGAAGCAGCATCATGATCAGTGATATCAAATATTTAACAAATTCATTTACAGAGCACTAGTTGGTTAGCTTTATCCATATTACGGTTCAATAAGAAAAAGTCAAGACTTTATGATTATATGGTTGTATTTGCATACTTATTTTGGCAATAAGTTTGAGCTTGCCATTGGTTTCTTCCAGGATTTTTTTCCCGACTTTCCAATCTAGCCTACAACTTCAAATTTCATTAGAAAAGAATACATGTTGCTTGAAGTTGAACTATGGAGCCCTGGGTGCTTTGTAAGCTTGGTTGTTTGCTTGCGGTTATTTCATTACCAAATAGGTAACATAATCAGGAATAGTTAGATAATAACATGTTTGCAAGCAAACAACCAAATTCAAAGCTCACCAAGGACCCCACAACTTCTAATTTTCTGGTGGCTTTCCATCCAAATGCTGACCAAGTATTACAGTGTTTTGCTCAGGGATGGGATTCTACCGGTTCAGGCCAGTTTGGGTGAACCAGTACTTCCGAAGATCAGCTGAGAGCAACCAGTCTGTTCCAACCTTCAGGTGGGCCGCCCCTGAGCTATACCCAACTATATTTCCTTGATTTTTAGCCCAGCTGATAGGGGCGACAGAGTGAATTGCCTCAGCTGTTTTCCTGACAACTGTGCACATGCACCAGCGTGTGTCAGGCATGACAGGCGCACACGCACTTAGGGAACTGGTTGTTAAACCGGAAGGATCCCACTCCTGGTTTTGCTTTTTCAAGATCAGCCCAAGTTGCGTACATGATGGTAACATGGTAGAATAAGGTTACAAGAAGACAATAAAAATTTGTTTACATCATTCTTGAATAATTGTTGCTCATTGGTTCTACAGTGTCATTTCATATATTTATTTACTTCCATTCCAGTGTTAAGACTTGTAAGGTGAGTTGATCTATTCTGAAATAAATTATTTTGGGGGAGTTGCTACCTAAATCTTGGAATCACGGGGGTTTATTTGTGAAGCTATTGGAGTTTCATTTATTTTGTATGTTTTCTTCCCAGGGCTTAATGTAGAATATGATTCTGTATTCACCATACCTTTTTTGAGGCAGATTATAATCTAATATCTGGGCAATATTACTCAGTATTCTGTGGCCAATTATAGACTTGATGTTTTAGTCAGGAGTTATGCCTACTCTACCACACTGCTTGAAAGGAATAGATTTTTCTATTAGCACATAGAAAAGATAATTGGGGGGGGGAGATTTTTCGTATACTCTACATGTAGAAAAGACAACATAAAGCAAATTGTTCTTCAGGGACTTCAACTGATCCTCAGCTAAGTACTTTTCATTAGGGCAGTGATTTGAATTAAAGGGCAAATCTGAATCAGCAGCTTTCGGTGTATGTACTTCACACCTGTTAGGAACACTTTGAAGCAACTGCATCTTTTCCTGGGGCCACCCAGCTGTCTTCTACAGCTGGCATGTAAACCCAGGAAAATTCACATTTGGCTTAAAGCATTTCTGGCTGTTGGTACAAGTATGTTCATCTGTGGCTCAAATGGCATAACCTTTGAATTGTTGTCCAACCATATTTTTATGGCAGTTGCCTGACTACTGTATAAGTGAGAATGGAGATTACTCTTGTAACATGCTTTTTCTTATCTCTATGACTGCTTTGGGTCATTTTCTTCTCCTATTCTTGAGTGGTTCTAGGTTTCATATTGGTTGGGATAATATGTAGATTTGGCTACATATTGAATGAATGGCAATTGAAAACCATTAGAATGAGAATAATGTTTTCATTGTTTGTTATGGAAATAATCCTAACTATCCATAATACCTCCAAATTGTTGGTGAAAATTTTCATGAAATCAACATTTGCATGGCCCTGTGTAATACTCAGATGTAGCATCCAAGTACCCATGAAAGATCTTGTGTATGTAAGAATTTGTACATATGCTATATGAAAAATGTTACAGTATATTTACTTGGACAACAAAATAGATTGTATAAAGGATTAGGATATTCTTTATTTTAAATAACAATTTGATTATTTTTGTTCATAACATTGTGTTTAGATGTAACGATGCTATAAATGGACCAACTTTCAGGTAATTTCACATTTAAAAAGTTTGCTAGAGAAAAAAGTTAAGTAGATAATCTTCAGAAAAACTATATATAATCTGAAGTACAAAATTGGCCTTTTGAAAGATTAAATGAAAATTTTGGAGACCACAGACATTTATTGTTCAGTTTTCCATTGCAAATAGACACCATCCTTGCATCAAAAACACAGCAGAAACCTGGTTGTTTAATGCAAACTTCACTTGGAGTAAGTCCTCGGATGCTAGTTCGTTTTGTGCTTTAACAGCAGCAGTTTCCTCTTTGTTGCATTCATTTCTAAACTCAAAAGATAAAACAGCAAGAAGAAGCATCTCTTTATACTGCTCAGTCCTCTGTAGTTAAAATATTGTAAAGGCAAGTGATCTGATGATTTACTCAGAACTCAGTTTATTCCTTTCAGTTGAACAGCAGCCAAAGATCACAGCAAACAAAATGAGGACAATGATGATAGTGAAGAATGAAACTATCACCACTAGTCCCCCTAGAACCCAATCATCCGTCAGAATCCGTGTTTTCATATCTTCTACAAATTGAAAAGCTGCTTGCTTTGCAGTTGGCATTGTTTCCAGGCCCTGAAGAATGCAGGAAATGAAATGTATATGTACACTTATCTAACTGGGAATGTTTTAAAAAATTCTCTAGTCAAAGTTATTTCCAGGCTAGCAATTCTCAAACAATACAGGTAGTCCTTAACTTATGACCAGTTGCTTAGCAACTGTTCAAAGTTACAATGGAATTTACCTTCAGGCCAGTGGCGGGATTTTTTAAAAAATATTACCGGTTCTGTGGGCGTGGCTTAGTGGGCGTGGCAGGGGAAGGATATTGTAAAATTTCCATTCCCTCTCCACTCCAGGGGAAGGTTACTGCAAAATCCCCATTCCCTCCTGATCAGCTGGGATTCTGGAAGCAGAGAATAGATGGAGGCGGGGCCAGTCAGAGGTGGTATTTACCGGTTCTCAGAACTACTCAAAATTTCCGCTATCAGTTCTCCAGAATTGTCAGAACCTGCTGAATACCACCTCTGCTTCAGGCTACTTATGATCCAGATTCTAACTTCCAATAATCAAAGCCCCTCACTTGTTATGTGAGCAAAATGAATTGAAATACTGTTCCTAGTGTGGACATGTCTGATATAGACTGCCAACTTTGCTACTATTTGAACTTACAATGTGAACACATGCTAAGTGATATTTCACCTTGTACTAAGCAATAATGTGTTTGGTATTTTGAATAAAGCAATCCTGGTTTATTCAAAAAACCATGTTTAAACCAACTATGACATAGTATAAATCAGGCATTGTGATGTGTACTAGAATTTTTGAACAATCCAGCTATTTTTTTTATCCTTGCAATTAACAATAGTGAATTCAAGCTGTCAGCTGATATTGTTGGGCATAATTTTTCCTATGTCTCACAAATGTTAATTTTCTACCTTTCAAACAGAAATTTCTCATATTTAGCATTTCAATTTTTAAGTAAAAGTGACATGGCTAATTATCTTAGTATGAAATGTCATTTTTTTAAAGGCAACATTTTAAAGCCACTTCTACAGTAATTTTCCCTATTTTGATTTCACTTAAGAACATGAATTATGCATTGAATCAGCAAATGTAAAGTGAACTGATTAAAGACTGAAAATTAAACATTAGCTGGAGTCAGCCTTTTTATAACTAGTCTTTCCAAATTTTGCATTGAATCTGGTTTGGAATGAGAAGAGGCTAAGTAAAATGTAAATAATTTCCCTATTATAGGGGCATACTCGGTTTGAATGTTTGAAATGTTGTTATTTATCTGCTGCACATTAGTGACTCCATTTATCTGAAAGCTTCTTTATAGTATACACATTTTATTTTAAAAGGATCTTTTATTTATTACTACATTCAGCCAATATAGATAGAAGCAACAAAAATCTTTGTAAAAATTCATCTGTGAGCCTTCAGGACTTTTTGGAATCCCAGAAACACTTCCTATAAAATGATGATTACTTTCCCAACAGCAATTCCTTCAAATCTCAAATCCTTATAAAACAGCCATTTGATGTAATAATTTTAATATACTTGGAGAATATAAAAGCAAAAGAATCACTCTGTTCTTACCTTTGTATAGATTTTGTCTATACTAGATGTGATTTGTTTCTGTGGAAGTCTATCAAGTACACTCCTGTCTGCTGAAAGACCTTATTCACTTATGTGAATTGCAAATACAGAATATCTAATATAGGTATTTGTTCTTTAGTAAATCATTAGCACACTAATAGATTATTTCTCCTCCAATACAGAAGTTTATTTGCAATTCTGTTGTTATAAATACTGCTGTAAAATTATTTTCATCATGATTAATCTACCTTCAAAACTGAATTTGTCATAACTAGAAGAAAAAGCACTCTGGAAAAATTTCTAATTTGCTGGGAATCCCCCCCCCCCTTTTCCGTTTGTTGGGAAATACATTTTGGTTCTGAGTTATCTATTTTCTTATGGATTATAAAGATATAATAAAAGTGGCATTTGCAGTAAAGATGAGAATGGAGAGACCCAGGTTCATATATTATTTATTTCTACAGTAGAAAGAAGTTGATTGTTTTATTGTTCATTATAAATGCTCAAACAAAGGTTCCTTCTTGAGCAGGTAATTATTGTTTATATTCTATAAAGAATATGGCAGTAATTTAGCTTTGGTGCTGAATGTGTTTTATAATTTTATGTTCAAGCAATATATATTTTATAGACGTTTAAAGCCACAGTAATCCACCCAAAATTAAGATGTGAATGATGATAAGTACACTCTAGACTTTTCTTTCAGAAACAAAGTATGCATTGTTTCACATGCCTTCATTGAACATTGGTGGAACTAGTATTTCAAAAAAGGTGCTTATTTTTTTCCCTTGCAAGGCCTTTCTCAATACAACACATACTTTTGCTCCCCCCCCAAAAAAAATCTCTTTAACAGATTTGTGAGAAAAGCAGATGTGTCTATTAAAAGAGTTGAACACTTTCTCCTGGAAGATTTCCTCCCTAATCCTTAAAAACAGTTATTTCGGTCTACAATTGGTTTCACTTTCTTTTAATCCAGCATTTTTTCCCAGTGTAATACTTGCTTTAATTTTATTATAGTATTAATGGAGATTCAGGATATTGTACATATTTTTTCCATGTGGCGCACTATCATTGTATTGTTGGAAATGCTGGGCAATGGTTTGGCTGTGGAATCAGTTTGCGTGGCTGACTTGTTCTCTCCACAGCCTGGCAGCTGTGCAATTATAAAAAAGCAGCCAAGTTTGAAATCAAGTTAATCTCTGTGTCTGTGGTTGTTGAAACTGTTTTCTTATTCCTGTCATTTGCACAAGGGAGTGACTTCTGAAACAGTACACACCCAGAATAAATATACTGGAGGCTTTTCAACACTCTTTGTAGCATATAGAAATAGAACTTGCTGGCAGATGTAGCACCCTGCATCTCTCATCTTTACTTATGTTGACTGAGGTTCTTCCCAATTATAGTTTTAAATGTCTGGGCCATAAGGTTTCAGTTGTACCTTAATGCAGCAACACTGCATGACAACTTGGTTGGATATTTGATAAATCTGGTTTTGCAACTTGCCTGGGACTGCAGAAATTTGGAAGAATTAAATATTTGCAGGCATAATATATAACTGGTACATTGCTCTAAGCTTTAGTCAAAAAAGTATATAGTTTTAATTGAAATATGGCATATATATTCAGCATATTTAAAGTGTTGAACCAGAATAATGATTTATTAATCTATATTATTCAGAAATGTGGATTCATGGGATATTACTAGATAGCTATGAGATTGCGTATTGTGATAATAGGTAACCCTATTTTACGTTAAATTCAGAGTTAAATCGCTTTGGGGTAAATGAGATAGTCATCTATTACCACAATAGGAGTCTTAGCAGTCTAATTGTGGGTGATGACAAATATAGTCCAATACCTCTAAAGAACAGGAGATATACTGTTATCTACCACCAAATTTTCTATTTTGATTTACACAGCTCAAGTGCCGTTATTTCTCTTTTGTGCACATTTAACCCTCTTTGAAATTGATTGAAGCAGAAAGTGTCTCTTTGGAAAGGGATTTATACTCTGTTGTAAGCAGTAGCTGGGTAGCTCATTCTTGGTTATGTTTTTGCTGTACCATTTAGCATAATGCTGTTGTCCAGTTGTTGCACTCATTTCCTGAATGAAACCTGCTTTTGCTTTTGTACTCTGTTTGATCCCTCTGTGTATAAATTCACCTTAAAACACAGACTCCCAATAAAGGGAGCAAAGGATTAAACTGTAAACCTCAGTGAATGATTGGAAGAGTTCCTGTTTCCATGCCTCCTCCTTGAGTATAATCCAAGAGTTGCCTTTTCCCCCTTTGGTATATTTTAATTACCTTAAATATAACATGAACCCACCACAACTATAAATTATTCATAAGAGTATTCATAGAGGACATATATAATTCTTAAGCCCAACATAAAGCCAACCAATTCTTTTGTTCCCTTTTCTTTGAAGTTAAGGATTTGTCATATACAAAGTTTACACAGAAGACACCAAAACATAAAAAGGCAGTAATTTTTAAAGACAAGAAACAATACAGCATTGTGAGCATTATCATATCCCTTCGGCTTTCCTTAGGTATACAGCAGCTATAGCATATGTACTGTCTTTGACAGTTGTTAATTCTTTTATTAAGGAGGGAAGGAAGACTACATAATTTGTTGTTGCTTTTCTTTGCTGTCTCTGAACTCATTTGTCATCTTCAAGCTTACATCATTTTCTTAATGCATGACTTGCTTAGCTATTATGTCTCTGGTTAACTTAGCTTTAAATGGTTGAGCAGAGGGGAAACCATGCTTATGTCAGATTTCATTCTCCTGAATGCTTGCATATATCTTGATCTCCCTGTGGCTTCCTGAACTGTAATGTGGAAATGAAATCTGGTGCATGTTTGACCAGATAGGTATTGTCTTGATAGGTTGAGGAGAGAAAACTACTGCAAACAGTGCATTTTCAACATGTCAACATGTCAAAAGCCATGTCATAAAACAGAGTCCTATGTTCAGGTTCAGTCTCTTTTTCCTTCTCTCTCTCTCCCTCTCCCCTCTCTTTCCCTCTATGTGTGTCTCTTATTTTATCTCCTCATTTACCATTATGTTCCATGGATTGGTATGCCGTGTTGGAGTTGTTCCAATTCTTTCTTCAACTTCTGTATTCTTTTTTAAATTCACTTTTATAAATCATCTGCAGGCTGAACCTCAATCCTTTTGGCCTTCTCTTTTGGCTTTCCATCGTAGAAGCAGCTGCAGCAAAAGCTGCAAGCTACAATCATCATTGAAAGCATCGTAACTGAAAGGTGAAAGGAGACAAAGAATATTGGCTTTGGAAATGGACCAGAAATTAGAACCAGTCCAGCCCACTACAGAGTGAGTGTAGCAGATATAGTCCAGATGTAGTTTTAGAAAGTAATTTCTGAGATTGCTTATAATGCCAACAAAATGCTAGCTGATAAGAATTATAACTTTTGATATTCAAATTACAAATTGTGGCTTAGTGTTTTTAATTGTTGAGCTTCTTGGGCTTATAATTGTGGTTATGCTTTCTGCCACATTCAGTGAGGAGATGTGGCGGGAGAGGTATAGCTGAATACCTGATGCAAAAAAAGCATAAACAAAATGTTGTGTTTATGCACATCCAACCCTTCTTCTACATAGACATGAGGAAAATTTTACTGGATTTAGTTTCACCTCCCACAAACCTTGGTTTTTCCTCTTTCCTTTGCCACTGTAATAAATCTCCTGGCCACACAGGAGAAGGGGAGGAATAGACTATAATAACAAAATAGATTTGTTCAGGCTTGTCTGCCAGCCTCTCCTTTTCAAAGTAACTTATTCTTCAGCTGCTTTTATTTAATGGTTATCTTCCTAAAAATTAATAGACCTTAATTAAATGTTCATTTGTTCTGTGAACTGTCTTATTTCTCCTGATCTAGTTCGGAGCTGGTTCAAATGTGCACATGTTATTAGAATATTTCAGAAGTAAATATGTTCCATGGAAATACAATCCCAGATATTTCATATTGCTACACACAATCTGCTTTCTAATGTTTCAAGTATCCCTTCTGATAAATGATAAATGCCCAGTTATAAACAAGTATACTACAATATAATGTTGAAATGTGCATGTTTGCAATTATAGGTAGTCCTTGCTTAGTGGCCACAATTGAGACTGGCAACTGGTCATTAAGCAAAGTGATTGTTAAAGGAAGCCATTTTTACAATATTAATTCTTTTTCTTTACAACCCAGCAAAGATCATAGATGTGAGGATTGGTTGTAAAGTTAACTTTTTCGCCACTGTTGTAACTAGTAATAGCCTTTAAACAAGGACTGTCTATGCTTAGAGAGTGTTCATAACTTGGAACAAAAAAGATGCTAGTACAGTTTTTAAATCAGAAGCCTTGTCATAATTCTTACTTTGTTGATTGGCCATGCTGATTTGGAATAGTAGGCATTGTAGCCCTGCATATCTGAAGCCATCCAGTTGGAGAAGCTTAATTTAAATATTGAATACATGTTACCATATTGAAAAGCTTTGCTGTATTGCACTATACATAAAGACTTCAGATTATCCCATTCTAAATTAAAGCATTTAGTTCCTATAGTCTTCAACAAATGAGAAAAGATTTAAATTACAGAATAAGCTTATGAAACAGCACTATTTAGAGCTCTTATTAAACACAGTAGCTGAGCCCAGATAAGTTGCAAGCATCAGGAAACTGGATACTTACCAATGAATAAGATAATAATAAAAAAACAGACAATCTCCAACGGGTCAGCTTTGGGTAGTCTCTGGAGTTTAGCCCATAATTTGTAACCAATAGCAATGAGTTCGTTCTGAAATTCTTTGAAGGACATTCTGCTGTTCTCAGTCCACAGCTTGCAGCACTGGGGTACAGGGAGGAAGGCAGAAGACAATGTGTTTTGCTTTAGTTTCAGCTTGTGAACACCAGGAAAAAAGACCTGCCTTTTATTTGAAGCCAGCAAAAAGCAAGATCATTAACAAAACAAGTTTATCCGGGCTGTGCCCCAGGATTTTCAGACAGCTGCTTGGATGAAGGTCCTTCAAGTTACCCAAACATTAAAATACATTGAAAGCAATCAAATGCTAATTTGCATTTGTTTCATTTTAAAGTTGTAACACGCGGGTGGCATCTCCTTGTATAGAGTCCAAACAATTAATCATGGGCATTATTTAATCATGTGTTTATTTAAAGTATGTGTGTTGTATCTTCATAGTACATTATCAATGGTGATACGATTTGTTCTATGTTGACAGCACACTGACAGTTAAGGAGGGCTTATAATTCACTTGCGCCGTTTCTTGATCTTCCATTGAGAAAAGAATCTGTTAGTGCTCTAGTTTCTTCCATCTCAAAGCAAAGCAAGTTTGAAGAAAAACCAACATGAAGTGCATCATATTGCCTTTCACATAATACATGATGTTCTAAGTTCTACGTTCCACTCTCCTAAGAAGTATTTGTTTCTGTTCCAGAGTTGTTGGGGTTCTATCTGCTACATGGTACATTCCAAAACCTCTAGTCTAAGAGTGGCATCACTATTTCATTCTGAATGTTCTGTTCAGTGTTTTATAGTATAACTCAGATTAGATATCTTCTAAAACATAGCACAAATTATGAAGGTATAACATACCAGAAAATAATAAGAAAGGAACCACAAAGAAAACATCTGTTACAGGGTCATTTTTTTACCTAGCTACAAATCTATATTGCCTTAAAGCTGCTGAAAAAATGACAATGTAACAGCATGTAATATAATTAAAATCTCAAGGGAACTCCTTAACCTAATTAGACTAGTTCCAATTATAGTATTAATAGCATTGGACTTGGAAATGGATTTTAGCTACTGATTGGGGGGGGGGGTCAGGCAGTTTGAGAAAATCACCCTATCATTTGGGCAGGATTCACAGAGTGTCCATTTACAGTACTTCTCCTTACCTCCCCTGGCACTTCAGAACAACCTATTTTTTACTTGGGAAAATATGGGCATATTTCTAAACAAACGATTGATTACGTGGTAATTCAGAGATGTAGTTTTGAATGAAGAAAATGCTTGACACCAGTGCTTTAAAATGGCACGATGGTGTAGTGATGTGCCTGACTATGTTATTTGTTGTAAATTTAGTTGTTAAATATATTAATTTATATAAAATTACAAGTTCGTGTCAGCATCTGACTTCATTTGGACACCTGCTGCACAATTCCCTAACAGGTTATGGGCCCAGAAGCTTCCTGATGTGACAGTAGAAAATTTCTCTGAGGTAAAAAAAAATTCATGAGTCCTAGAAAGGTTGAGGATTATTGGCCTGTACCGACAGTATGATGCTATGTTATAGGAATGGGAGGAGGATTTCCTTTGGTTCTTCTTAGTCGGATGAACTATCTCTCATGGAGCATAAAGATGAAGATGTTTCTGGAAAGGAAGATTTGTAGACAGTTGTAAGCAATCCTCCAGCAAATTTTAATGAGGAACAGCAAAAGTTAAATTAAAAAAGCACCAGAATTTATGTAAGGAAGATGGCAAGCAGTTAAGTAACTCTCACCAGAAAACTTTATAGAGCAAGGCTATAGTCTGGAGAAAGTCTGTTAGATCACCTCCATGAGGAAACCTTCCTTGAATTAGAAGAGCAAGGAATGGCGTCTTCAGAAGCACACAAAGTGTATGGTGCTGTGTTCCCTTGTTGATACATAGGACGTGTTAGTAGCAAGCCATGAGTCCATGAAAAAGTGTGATTTAACTGAGTTATGTCACCAGGAAGCTTTTGGAAGAAGAACAGAAAAGATTAGAGAGAAACATTGCACCTTAGAGTAACAATAGTAATTTATAGCTCGGTCAAAAAAGACCTGCATTCCAGAGAGGTAACAAGGTGGGAGAGAAAATCTGTGTACTAAAACTGCTGCTTTGCATGTAGATCCACTCAACGTATCCAGAGAAATTGCCCAGTAAAAAGATTAAAAGAAACAAACGAGAGAGACAGCACAAAAACAGAAGAAGGGAGACACAGATTTCTGTGGTGAAGGCAAACAACAAAGGCATTAAAGACATCTGGCTGTTGGATAGTGGGGCAAGTTAGTATATTGTAAATAATTTTTTTCCGGTCTGGGACCAGCTGCCCAGAAATATGTAAGCCTGGCAAATGGTAATCATTCTTTTGTACCATATATTATATACCATGTACACATGTACCATGTATTGGATAGTCGTTTGATAAGGTTTTGGGTACTAGATTTAGATTACAATTTGCTGAGTGTGTCTTTGAGATTATAGTTGGAGAACGAAAGGTATGAGGTAATATTTGCAAAGGGCATAGACAAATCATAGACTATCAGGATATGTGCACAAGGTTTAAAACTGAACAATTTATCTTTTGAACCACAAGAAAACTAGTGGCAGTATGCAAACAATAATTTCTAATGAATCAAAGCATAATGGCTCTGCACATTTATTATACAGAAGTCTGGATGATGCAAACTTTAAAATATTACAGACTTGGCTGTAGATTTGAATGTAAAAGTTTGTGACAACTATTTGGATTGTGCTATTTGCAAAGAGACCAAATCGAAAATATACTCTGTCAGCAAAAGAAGTGATAGGAAATCTGACAGGATTTTTCAGTTAGTACATGCTGATTTAATTGGCCCTCTATCTCCATCAATGGGAGGGGCCAAATTGGCTTAGGTAATTGTTGATGATTTCTCAAGATATGGGTATTGTTATTTGCTAAAAATCAAAACAGAACTGTTCAGCAATTTAAACAGTGGGTAATGTTCGTAGACAGGAGGTATAATCAAAGGGTATGTCAACTACAAACAGAGGAATAGATTTCATATTTAACATGTTTCAGCAGAGAGAAAGAAAGGAATAACCCACAGAAGAATGAACCTCTACATTCTGGCAAAGAATGGAATTGCTAAATGCAGAAATGGTGTGTATGAAAGATACATTACTAGGAATGAGTAAGCTATATTGGGGTGAGGCAATTTTAACTGCCAATTATTTGGTCAATAGACTATGGAGTTCAGCAATTAATGAAACTCCACATTACATGTTATATAAAAGACAACTATCCTTGATCCTTGGCACATTTAAGAATTTTTGGCGACAGTGCATGGATGCACATTCTCAAGACAACGAGAAGGAAAGGAGCGCCAAAGGCAAGGGAAATAAAATGTGTCAGTTATCAATCAGAATCAGAGGCATTTTGGTGTCCATCTGTCAATGTTATTTTCTCATGTTCTGCAAATTTTTCAGAACATAAGAATTGGAAAAAGATACATTCCAGTACTCAAAGCCTAATGCCTGTTAGTCAGAGGTTGCCACTGAATGAACATTCACACGGGCAAGTTAAACAGGAATCCAAGAGTAGCTTAGGGTTTGTGTATAGCTCAAGGGAATGTTTGGAGAGAGATTCCAGTGAAACAGGAAGAGTTTATTCCAAGGAGGGATGAGAGAGGTGTTCCTCCAGAAAGATTCACAGTTAATGAATAAAAAATATGTGACATCTTTTATGAGCCCCCAAATTACCATGAAGTATTCAATTTACTTCTGGCAGAACAAAAGAAAGGGAAAGAGGTTATAGATAAAGAAATGCTGTCTATGCAAAAACAAAGTTTTCACTCCAATGGGGTTACCACAGGGAGAAAAAGCTGTTGGGTGTAGATGGGTGTACAAAAAGAGGGGCATACCCTGGCATGCTGGCCAGCTGATTTCGGCCTTCATTTTTTGGGCATTTTTTTGCCCTCCAGAAGCTTCCCTGAATGGAATGGGTTTTGGAAATGGACTTCTGGTTTGTGTGTTCGGCCATTTTTCTCCCTCTGGAGGCTTCAGGAGGCTTCCTTAACATTTAATTGGCCTCTTCCACTTAACAAGGCTTCCCAAGACCAGCCCTACACTCTTTCAGAGATATTTAATCAATTATGCGTAAAGTGAGGTGGAAAAAAAAGAATTGGTTAAAAATTAGAATTGGAATATTTGTTTCATACATTTGTAATGAGTAATGTCTAAAGAAACTACAGATATTTATGAAATAAGACAAAAGTTTAATATTTTTATGAATGCGCAGTGTAGATATTACAGTAAGAAAGCCATAGCAAAGGCATGAAAAGATATAAAAATATCACAGGAAAGGTATGTATATTCAGCATGTGATATTAATGCATGTTCAGTTCTGAAGCTTTTACAGAAACAAACTATGTGAAATTAAGTTCAGAGCTAAAGTTGGAATGGCTTTTGCAAACTTATAAAATGCAAGGAATTATTTTGTAAAAAGCAAGAAAAATTTTGAATGCCCGTACTATTCATGACAATTTTTTAAAATCTCATTGATTATGAAGGTATCAACTTCTATTTGTACGCCAGCAAAAGTCGTTGCAAGTAATCTTCAACTTATGATCACAATTGAGCACATAATTTCAGTTGCTAAACAAGGCAGTTGTTAAGTGAATCACATCCCATTTTGCAACCTTTTTGCACAGTTGTTAAGTGAATCACTGCAGTTGTTAAGTGAATCATATAGTCATTAAGCAAAATCTGGCTTCCTCCATTGACTTTGCTTGGTCAGAAGCTGGCTGCAAAGGTTACAATTAGTGATCACATATGACCCCATGACAGTGCAACTGTGAAAAATACACGTCAGTTGCCAAGTGCCCAAATTTTTATCACATTTTAGACTTAAAAATCATATTTAATAGATATCTCTTCCACCTAAGTCCAATGAATAATGAGTTTACTGTTGACTCTTCAGCATTTATATTAACATGGGTAAAAATTTGAAAATAGTAATTAACTGTCTTCATATAAATCTTGGAATTCTAAGCCATTCTTCAATCATGTATAAATACTTTTGCAAACTTAAGGATTTGAATTGGCAAAAATCTAATTAAGTGTTTAGGATTTAGTGTGAGAAAGCAAAAAGTGTATCATTGCAAGGCTTAGGAAAAACTTGGAACATATGATAATAATTAATGGTGGCTTGTGGGATTGCAAGTAAAGGAGACTTATTTTTTTCCTAAATTGTACATATTTATATTTTTAGATGTAGACTTCCTTTCTAAAACTTATTTTAGATGTAGATTTCCATTGCAGTACCTATTAAGCAATGAAAAAATACTAGCCTAACACAGTGAACTGAGTATAAAGCGTATTCCAGAAATTGATTTGTTAACAAGCTGGATATTCTACATTAGCTTTTCCTTT